TGCGGGAAATTACCAGGAGAATGTGCAGTTGTTGCGTATATAAACTTTAAGTGCGCTAACCCAATGCATTTGGTTGTACAAAGTTTCATTCGCATTTCACCCGACATTGAGCTGCACCGCACGTTCAACATTAGGCGATTATACAAAGTCTTAATTGTGTTTAGAGTTGCTAATACAATTGAGTTAAAATACCGAGAGAAAAATGGGGGTTTGTCCGCTGTAAACCACTCGAGATAGCAGCCATAGTGTTTATTAAAACGTTACATTTTAATTATTATTATACTATATATTATTAGAAATTATTTGATCACATTTTAACATTGTGTGGGTAGGTAAAAGCCGTTATGTGGTTTTAAACAGAATTTTAAATTTAGTATAAACATATTATTATTTTACCTACAGTGTATTCAACAAAAAGTAAAATATAAATAATTTTAAATGGAACAGTCTTAAAGTTTCTATTAAATTAATACCAACAAGATGTATTTTGAAGCTAAAGTTCTCTAAATTATAGAAATATTTTCCAGTATACAAAAACAGTTTTTGTTACATTTTTCGTTTATTGTGTTTAAATTATTATATTTTAAACCATTTAATATAATATATTAAATGCTAAGTACTTCCGAGTAACGCTTTAATAACATGTGTAATGAACACAACACTACCGTCAATACAGCACTACGATTATTTTACGCTAAAATTTAACGATACAGCGCGCGTACTGGCAATGCGTTTTGGAGAGTAGTCGATTAATTGATTGTCATAAATTAATATGCGTTAACTGACCAAAACTATGAATAAAAGGTATTATCCATTTTAATATCGCTTTTCGTCCGGATTGATATATAATATCGGTAAAAAAAACAAGGGAAACTAAGTAGTGCGCCCTTACACATCTACCGCGGACGCACTCCATCGGACATCAGTCAAAGGACCATCGTATCCGCTTAAAAATTACATTCTCAAGTCCCAACACGTTTTGGTAGCGTATGTACCTACCTGACTACTGCAGCTCTCGGTTTCCAATTGTCCTTTGGCCGGCTAATGAACGGCTAGAAACAGTCGACCGACTAGACACGTGTCGAAGTGCGTTTTTCCGCCACGCTGCAGTTTGCCGCCGTAATTAATCTCGTATTCCTTATATTACCCGCGCCGCATATATCTACGTGAATTTGTCACCGCGATCGTACTCATGTCGTCATYTTATTAAAACTATATCTATATTTTTCACTGTCGCAGTCACCTCCATCACACGATTTATATATTATATTGTTATTACCATTGTCATAATATCTCTTGTCAAATACGATATTCATCCATATTTTTGTTTGCAACAACACCGTTTAACATCACCAGCGTATGTATATCATTATTATTAAATCATATACCTATATAGCTGTGTGTAATTAATATATAAGGTATATGTTTATGAGTATATCTTGTGGAAAATATTAATTGTGATTTAATATTTTCTAAATCCACAAAGTAATTTAAAGAAATTATTTTAAGTTATCGTATCTTTCTCATTATATTCTTATATAATATGTATATGYATRTATGTACAATTATTTGAATTATATTATGAATATTAATGTGAATAAATAAAAAATTTTGTTAATGAAGAAAACTGAATTCTCAGCCTTAAAAATTCATTACACATGTCTGCACAATACCGTTTATATTTATTATCGATCTGGTGTGCTTGGTATTAGACAATTATTTTTTAAGAGTTTCTGATAAATTTAACTTTAAAGTGTATTTACACATTAAGTTAACATTTCTGTTGCTCTGGGGAGGGTCTAAATTATACAAGATTACCTGTATGTAATTCATTTAACTTTAATGTAACATTTTATTGTAGTCTTTCAACAACGTATTTATTGCGTCATTTGTAATTAAAAAAAAAAAATGCTAAAATCACATTTTATAATTTACAATAATAATTTAATATTATAATGCGTTACAATTTTATTAGTTAGTTTTTTAAATTGAGGCCACTGGAAACAAAATCACTTGAAATTTCAAATTTATGAGGTAAATATCTAGGACATTATACCTAAACTGTCATTTATAATTTATACTCACTATTATTATTATGTAACATGGTCAGGACCGCAGAAAATCCAAGGCAACGCGTATACCTATACCTGCTGTTCTGTTTTTGTACCCTTAGCCTCTTCCCAGCTCTACCCCTCGTGTTTATTACGACACTTATAATAATATATCATTGAATTTTTCACCATAAATGGCCGTGTAAAGTTGAAAAGGTTATACTGTCCAATTAAAATTTATTACAAACTTGGGCACAATATGAATGTGCATATTCGACGAGATTAATAATGATAAAAATAATGATTGTAAACGAATGTGTGTCAAGTCTAGAATTATAATTAAATATTATTAATACGTCTTATAATTGATCTTAACTGTGAACCGGTCTCACTGGCTTAATACAATATAATATATATACATCTAATCGACAATCGACTCTATGTCATGTAAAAATATTCATTTTTTTGTATTTTATTATTATTCGCTATTATATTGTCTCTAATGGTTTCAATGTAAATAATAATATGTTATTTCAAGATATAATATTGRATGATGGGAAAATATATCTTTTTTATTGATTTACAACAATGTSATTGCTTATTAGGTACGATTCTGTTAGATAATATTATCTAAACATCAAAGGGAATCGACGAGAGATCATTAAAAAACACATTTCAATTACGGATATTGTGTATTTTATCTGCAATCTGCATTCAAATAATTTAAAAAATAAATTATCATCATGTAGCATAGTGAAAAATATAAAGCCGGTTCCTTCTAGTGAAACTTCTATACAACGAACTTTTTATAAACAACATTTTCTGTTTAAYGGATTATTTTTAAGAACGATGAAGATCATTGTTATTCATGCGTAAATTCTATTTAACAAATTCTTCTATATTACGAATTTATTTCTGTTCGCCATGTGACTTTATTGTATGGAAGTTTCACTGTATTTGTGTAATGAAGCCAGATAATATATCGGGTTTTCTAGTACTTTTATTWTAATATTAGTTTCTAATAATCAGTTATTMTACTCCCGAGGTTTTATTTTTAGTAATATTTTCCAATCCCCTCACCAGTGCGACAAGCGTGAAATCAAATTTAAAATGAATAATAATAATGCGTAAAATATATCATTAATGTATCCAAAAATACCACGAATGCGTTCATTCATTTATAAAAACTTATACTTTAGTCACGAGCATTTATCAGTTGTAGCAAATTTTAAGTGTACTCAATAAACAAATTAACGGAGCTAATAAAACACAATTGCCCATGAACTGAACGAAAATTCGTTTGCAATGCACCTATATATAATAATAATATCAGATACACAAAAGAAAAGAAATATCGTTAAAACTTTGTCGGTTTCCTGAGCAGACATATCGATTGTTATTAGCGCTTTTATTATTTTTTTAAACGGACCCGGTTAATAAACAATACAGCAGTATAAAGTGACGCGACATTTTTGAACGCCTCCGTGGCATTAAAAGAGCAAAAGTTCAAATTAAATTGCAGATAAGAACTTACTTTATAAATTCAGCATCCGATATCAATGTGAAAAGTATATAGACCCGACCGTGAAATATGTCTGAACACGCAGTATCTTATATGCATATATATATATATGTATATATAAACAAATGTCCGCCATAAACGTCAAAACGCACGTGCATTTGAAACCCGTTCGAGTACCAAGAGGGCAATAAACGAGTCAAAGTAATATATTGTAATATTGTGAATGTATGAATTTCGTTTTTTTTTTACGTCGTTCTGACCATAAATAATTTGTTAGCCATTTAAATTGTTTTTGATATCGGAGAATTTATATGAAAACCCATATCTCTCTCGCGGGGACCGCGTTCGACGCCGAGAACACTACGACAACATTTCATACCTGTACGTGTATAATAT